CATTTTTAACAAAATTATACAATCATTTTGCTATAGTATATTGTCATATTTAGTTTGCTATACTCTTTCCTTCTTCCTTTTCTTGGAGTTTTTACATAGACGGCCTGTTTTATGTTTTTTGTGAAAATAACTTTCTCTCTTCCTTACATGAAAAATGGATGTGTTACAAATATTTAATAAATAAATCCCAAAATTTAAATTCTGAATATTCATTTCCAAATTTTATGCATTCAAAAACATAAAAGACTGTCTAACATAAATTAAAAAGAAATAAATAATTTTATATTAAAAACACCAATTTCAGTTAAATGATTCAATTTTATACCAAGTTATGTCTTTCAGAGTGATAAGGCAAAAAGAATATAAACTTTATTTTATTTATACACATAAAAGTAGGCATAAACAAAATTATATTATTTCATTATGGACACAGTTGTGAATATTTTTATTTAATTATTTAAATCAGATATATATGTTTTCACATATTAGCAGTAAAGAGAACTTTTCTGTGCTTCCTTTAGCTCTACACAGGTGGATTTCATTATGCATTTAATTGCTCTTCTTTTGTAACGTTAGTACTATTATGTTATTAATTTTGATCATAAAGCATCATATAACAATATTCTGTATATAGTGGAATTTAAAAGTCCTTTTGAAAAAGATAAACATTAATTTTCTTTATTCATTTACATTAATCATTAAATAAATAAAAAAACTCATTTTCAAGGGTTCGTACACATTTTTGCACAAGGAAATTAAGGACCATTAATGAGGAAAATCAGCAAATGGGACCTATCAGCAAATGGGAACTAAATAAATTCTATTAAATTATGTCTGAACTTCACTTTTGTAATAACACTCTAAGAATAAAATAGATCTGTAAGTAGGATGCATTCTTATTAAACATAATTTAATAAAAATAAACTATAAAACTAATTTGAGATTAAAATTCACTTCATACAATGTATCAAATAGCATTAAGTATTTTACACGTATAGTAGTTGGGCATATTTGAAAGAAGATTAGGGACATTTTATTTACGTTTTACTAACAGTTAGCTTTTTGTTCCTTTTTTTCTTTTTCTTTTTTTGTCTCATTTTGCCACATACAAAGTCTAAAGGTTCAGTAATTAGCACGTAGATTTTATGTCAAGTGGCATAGGTTAAAATGAGAAATAAAATTATAATCAGCAGGAAGATTAGCTGCTGCCAGTGCTGCTGTTTGCCTACAGAGACCTGTTGTTCAGAACAAACCTGAAAGTCTGATGTAGGCATAGTTGACAAGTTAGTTAGTTGTGCTCCATCAGTCTGATGCAGTTAGTACTGTAGCTTCATGTAGAGTTTCTGGGATTGCAGCCCAGGTAATATATTTTAAGGTTCCAATAAGCCACTAATGCACCAAAGGTGATAAGTTCTTTTGTATTAAGTCTCACTAGATGCAAAGAATAAGTTTTACATTAATTTTCACATTTTTGTACTGTATCTTGTGACCACAGTAAGGATTAATGAAAGGCAATAACTGAATATGCAGAAATAACTTGTAAATGTGAGCAGTTAGTTACAAATAATTAAATTAGGTAGTTAAATACCTTAGACCTTATGGATTTACATGACCACTATTAAATTTTATTTATTTTTTAAAAAAGCACTATTAAAATCACAGTCAAATAACATTTCACAGTTTAAAATGCATGTAATTTATGCCATTGATTCTTAAACAGTATTATGATAATTGCACATTAAAATCTACAAAACATTTATATTTTGTAACAATAACACACAACAAAATATTTCTGCATCTTTTTAACTTGAAGCCTTCCCAGATATTTTGGCTTAATTTATATCAATTTTCTTCTCTTTAAAATTTTTTTTCTAACAATTAGAAATCAATTTCAATACACAAATCAATATTCCCACTAGTTTCTGCGTGCTTTATCTCCTCACTTGGCAATCTCTTAACAGTGTACCTGATGAGGTTTTACTTGATCTAGTAATTTAGGAAGTTAAATAGTCCAAAACCTCTGATAGACATGAAGCAAATTGTCACTATGTCTAAAAGTAACTACAAAGTCACATAAACCTTTAAATAAACCTTTTGTTTAAAAAGAACTTAGAAATTAAAAAAAAACGAAAAAAAAATATTTAAAAAGAACAAATCAACTACAGCTTGTGGTGATGCAATTAAACAGGAGCTGTCAAATTTAAAGTAAAAAATGTGGATTAGTAGTCAAAGACTACATAATTTAATTTTAATCTAAACTGGCTCAGCAACTCTATCGTCGTAACAAATTCAAATGTTAGCAGTGATAATTCAAAGATGAATAATAGCAAATTATCAGAGCTGGAAGAAATTAAGGCAACATCCAAGTGGAGGACAAAATCGTACTGTTTTCCAATCCAAAACCTCAGTTCAAAAACTGTCTGATTTGCATTATGGTGAGGAAATGGAAAGGGGAAGTTATAGTAAAGGCTAAAATTATAAACAACTGGTTAATTTGCATAATAATAACTGTACATAACTTTTAAGAAAAAATTTCTTCTTCTTTATGTATCCAGTTTCTTTCTTCGGTAAGTCTCCTCTTTACTTTACAATTTTGGGAATCAAATAAAGATTTATATTATTCTAAAAAACCAAATGCATTTAGAATGTAAAGAAAGAGCTGAACATTCAGAATAAATATGAAATGATATATGGTAAGGGCTGGTTTTAGAGCCTATGAGGCAGAATTTTTAGAATTTACTACAGGTACTAAGAGCAGAATTTAGGAAGGGAACTAGGCGGCAGAATTTAGGATCCACAGAGATTGCATCAGGTGGGAAAATGCCTAGCACCAGGCCTGTGTATGATCCATTGAGATATATAAGGTGAATCTTTTAAATTGTCAGTTTTTAGTTTCATTATTAATAGAAAAATTCTTTTTTGTAAATGCCCTGTCCATGTGAAACGATTTGAAAATTTTTTGATATTTTCCATACTTGTGTCTAGTGAAAAGTTGAGAAAATAAACGGAAGATAAGCATGTTAAGAAAAAGACTTCTAATATCAGAAGTACAAAATTCAAAAATTATGTTTTCATTGTCCTTCCAAAAATACTCCAAAATGTAAGAAATTAACCTTTTAACTCTCCTGCCCGAGCACTGGTATTCCAAAATGTCACACCCGAATATTACTCAGGCTAATTTTTTTTTTGAGTGCATCATATTGTTATACCCAAATATATATTGTGAGATGTTTATTTCGGCTTCAGTTCAACAGGTGGCAGCATTTGACTGAAGGTTTCAAAGGATAGACGTTAATATTCAAAGTGCACCAAATTTTTTTTGATTTTTTTACCTTGAGGCAAACATTTCATTTTTGGAATTAAAAAAAAAAAAAAAAAAAAAAAAAAAAAAAAAAAAAAAAAAGACAATTTATGCACCAAAATCATCAAAATAACTTGACAGTTAAAAGGTTAATCACAAACTTTCTATAAAATGCATGCATTATGTGTTAATACAATGAAGCCATTTCTCATTTTGTCACATTTTTCTGGAGCCTTCTAGAATTGTGGGTCTGTAAATCTTGCCTTCAAATCCTTCTAAACTTTCCAAGTTGCAATGTTTAAAATCCTAACAAAACACACACACACACACACACAAAAAAAGGGGGGGGGAAGATCAGTGAAAAAGAGTGTAAAATTAATTTTATACTGAAACTGATGCATATTCTGACAATTCTGAGACAATTACATGGGGAAAATACTTACCATGAAAAAATTAAAAGGCAGAAAATTTTAATTAATTAGATACCTACTTAGCTTTTGCGATGATTTGTTTTGTAAACTGTGCTTTATAGCATTTATCACCTTATTTATTTTTCAGATTCAAAATACTGTATAATAAGTCGCCAAAATGGAAAGTAATGTCACTTTATAATATGACAGAAATTTTTTTTTTAAAATTTTAATGTTATTTCTTAAATATAATTTCAATATTACCATTATTTTAGTTAAATTTATCAATGTTATAACGTTTAAAAGAAAATCATAAAAAAATTTCATGATCTCCAAATTAAAAATTTTCTATAGAAACTGATCTTAAAATCGCAAAAATGTTGATAAGTCGCCAAATTTAGAGCAGTTTAACAAAAGAATTCACAGACCCAAAAAGCGGTAAGTTGTTTAAAAGCTCTTCATTAGAAAAAAAATTAAATAATTTTGAAATGCTTATGTTTGACTCTTTTTCGCAGAAACTCCAGTATCCCTTTCTTATATTACAAATAGGAACAAATTATAACCCATGAGTGCATTCAAAAGATAATCATATTTGTCACTGAATCGTCAAAAATATTTCCCCAAAATGATAATTGACACTCAAAATTGCAGTCGTAATAACAAGACAGGAATTTCAAATGATTAAAATTAAGGGCCTCCTGTCGATTTTGGCCGAAATTACAGACCAAAAATTGATTCCAAAAAACCTAAGGACTTTTAAGGACTCTTACGACCCCTGTTTACGAACCCTGTTTTCATCAGTGGATGGGCACACATTTAATGGAAAAATTAAAGCAGAAAACTCTTAAAATTGAAGATCCTATTTTACCATGAGCAAGTGGAATCAGAAAAACATTAATTTTAAAACCATGTGCATGCTGAAAATGTAGCATTGTAATATGAAGAAAACAGCACGATCTTCCTTATTTGCACATTAATTTACTGAAAGTCAAACAAGACTACCGAATCCAACTTTGCAATAGTTCAAAAAAAGGGGGCGGGGGATTTTATAACAGCACAAATTTTCTAATTTTTGTTTCTGGGTGGTGACCTCCAAATTCTGAAATTTCTGCTACCCTAAATTCCGATACCCATTTGCAACTAAAACCAGTTGCACCTGCTCTGGCTTTATGGATTATTCTATCAGACCTAAACAATAAGTGGCATCCCAATGTTGCCATTCTACATGTTATCGTACTGCATTTTAGACTAGTGATCTAAAATCCGGCAATTTCCGAAATCACCAAAAACCCAATGATTATAGATTGTAGACTTTATATTGCATTTGTTTTCATATAATCTAATTTACTTACCACTGCTCTTCTAATATATACATATTCTCTACTGTACATAGGATACTGAAAAAGAAATTAGAAAGCAATATATTTTTCCATACAAAAATAGTACATCACATTTAAAGGATCACACTAAAGAAATGAGAATAAAAAGTAATATTGCATTTTCTGAATCTTGGAATCAGATTGGATACAACTGCCTCATTTCCTATTCCAAGCTATTTTCTCACAATACTGAATAAAATACTCCACCATATTATGTACCCTTTTAATATAAAAAATAAGTTAAAACTTTATGGATGCACATTACATGCTGGATACAAAAATGGTAAATCAAAAATAAGGAAAAAATCAGCATACAAAAATTAAGATTTTTACATGTACCTTAATGCTGTTTATTTAAAAGAAATGACATACCTTATGAACTTTAAAATTTTCATTATCAGATAACATGAAAAGCTTGTCATGTTCATCTTCTATTATATCTTAAGGCACATCTTTGAATTCTGTTTCATCTTCACCATGATTATTTCTTTGATCCGTAAATAAATAATCATCATTCGCTCCCCCTTTCACCAACAAAAAACATCCCTGCCGCAGCATTATTTCCGTTTACTTTCGCAAACTGAATGACTTTGCATTTGAAACCAGTACAGTATTTGTTTCATTTGGCAGGTGCCACATTTAGTGCTAAAAGGAACGCTAGATCAACTGTATTTCAACTAAAACAAATGCCATTACGAAAACCTTCAATGCTCACTTCAAAATCATGGCTTCAAATGACTACAGTAAGAGAAAACTTCTAATTCTGTGAATTCATTTGAGTCGTAAGGACATTCTTACCCCAAATTCGTCCCCCTTTTCTCGAAACCTTAGAATGATATTTTTGTGCACACATCTGTATCCCCCCTATTTGCTGACTCCTTTAAAGAATTTCTCTCACACATGTATTGTTCCCCTTATCACTTGTCAATTCAGTATGCCATTGTTTGAACATTTGAGAAAAATCTTCAAATGAATGACTTCAAAAGATAAGAGCATCACATATGTAGCTTTCAAGTTTCTTACTAAAGAAAATGATTCACGTTATATGGTGAATATACCTAAAGATTAATAAATGTAGTTTGAAATTATAGGTGAACATTATACAACAGAATACATAGTACTTATTTATTGCTGCAGTCACAGAAACTCAGTTTCAAACAAATGAAATTAAGATACTCTTAGTTTTCCTACTTATAAACATTGCTGATATTAAATAACTGAGAAGTTTCATGTTAACAAATCTTGCCTTTAATGTATTTTCACAAGACAGCTTATATTTCCTGATGCAGTTTGAATTCTGATTCAACTAACTACACAACAAAACTCTCCAGCTCTCTGACCCATATTTATTTATACACTGCAACAAGGGCTCTAGAAAAATTTATCCTAGAACTTTGAGAATGGATTTTCAAAAATCTTTCATAAAGTTACAAATTGGCGAAAAACACCAAATGTCATTTAACTTAGCAAGAAAAATTATTGCTAAGGTCCATCAGGAACAAAATTGCTTACATCTTGGTTGAGCTGTTTTTAAAATGATAATGTTATTCCACTCATAATTAAAAGGTCTAGAATTCTGTATAATAAATAAATACTTAAATATAGCAAACACAGCCTTGGCTGGCATCCTGCCAAAATACTTTAAATCATCTAGAAGGGGTGTTGATTAAGAGCAGCAAAGTACTTTTGATGCACCCTGCTTTTGTGCACTGGAAGTATGTAGATGATTTTTAATACAAGAATGTACACATATCCTTAACACAGTGACTTTCACCAATAAAAGATTTGTTGCTGGAACATGGCTGAAGGGGCCAACTAGAGTAGTTCGCAGACTTCGTCTTTTTCGTGCACCCTATATCTATATTCTTATCATGAAGTGTAACTAACGGTAGTTAGCTTTAGGGAAGATAACAAAAACCAAGACTAATATATACAAATAGAAATATATTAACAGTGAAAATCAAACACAAAGAAACATAAATTCTTTTGGGAAATAAAATGTTCCGGCATATGAGCATATAAATTATCGTCCAACAATTATCAGGATTTTTAGACCCAGAAATAATTTCAGTTTTTTTCTGCATTTGAGTTTTCAACAGGTTAATCATTACTGTTTTAGCCATCCTCTGCAAAAATTTGGTTTGATTTGACTGACTTCTGTCCAACACTCAGTTTGATCTTAATCCTTCTCCATATCATAAGGTTAATAATAATTATTTGGCTGTTGTGAAGAACTTTGTATTATATGTGCCAATGATGCAGTAACTTATGATATACTTTTGGGGGGAGGAAAGCAAGCTCATCAATCACATTCTATATGCTTTTTGGTGATTATTAAATAAGATTTTGAATAATATGATAAGAATATAAATCAAACTGGGTTTTGATATCTAAATTTTGAAAACTGGCATGGCATTCATTATGCTAAAGCATACCTTACTGCTTTAATTTATGACTAAAAACTTTTCTACTAAAACTTCAATTCTGGGATTATTGATGTAATTTATACAGGCTGACACATTAAAAATAACAAATACATTGGAACAATGAGAGTGAAGAATATGCAAACAGCAAGTAATACATGTTACAGCACACAATTAAAATTTCATTCTGATGAAGTTATCTCGTATCTTTCTCTATATAGTTTGCTACTCTGAACTATAATTTGTTATTACTACATATTTATTAATCTATTAAAAGATTAGTTAATTATTTGTAGCTACTTTCACAACTTTCACAACAAAAAAAAAAAATTTTTTTTTTAAATTTGACTCTGTACCCTTGAAAAAAATCTGATGTGAACATCACATGACTTCCTTGTACAGCAGGGATGGCCAAGACGTCAACCGCGAAGACATTTTAGGTAGCACGCGCGACCATCCGAATAATGACCTCGGATATTAACAATTTAATTTATAACTTATAACATAGAATTAATAAATTATTTAAAATAAAAATTTATTACAGTTTACGCTTTAAAACCTAAAACAAACTGTGGAAAGTAATACAATGAATTTGTCGTTTTACAGTGGAGAATTAAATAGAAACAACTTAACAAAGTGGGATGCTTAGATTATATCCAGTAGGTGGCGCGATGATAGCGACGCGATGAGTCTACCCGTCACACTCGCCCGTTTAGTTTCAGTTCTCAGTTAATCATCTTACGTTGCAGGTCACTCACTTCCTACTGCACTGATATGATAATTTGTTCTTTCAACAACTCGTCTAAAATGACTCAGCCAGGTGCCAGTGCTAAGAGAAGTAAAACAGACCATTATCACAACAAGTGGGAAGATGATTTCTTTTTTGTTATGGTGAGGAGAAATGTGTTTGTCTCATATGTAACTCAAGTGTGGCACTACCAAAAAAAAAAGCAAACGTCGAAAGACATTTTAAAACCATGCACTTAGAATACGCTAGAGACTTTCCAATCGGTAGTAAACTTCGAAAAGTTAAAGTGCATGAATTAAAGTCGAATTTACATTTACAGCAATCGTTATTTACGAGACCAGGCACCAAAGCTAAAGCAGTAACATTGGCATCGTTTACCATTACAGAAGTTTTGATAAAGCGAAAAAAACCATTCAAAGATGGAGAATTGATAAAAGAAGCTTTCTGTAAAGCGGGAAAAGTGCTTTTCCACGATTTTAAAAACATATCTGAAATAATATCGTCAATAAATAATATTTCTTTGTCGCGTAACACTGTGATGCGACGGACTGAAGCTATGAATAAATTTGCAGGATTTATTAAATGATGATTTAAAAGCTTATAAGTTCCTATCACTTCAATTTGATGAATCCACGGATATTAGTGACATTGCACAGTTATGCATTTTTGTGGGAATGATTTTCAAAGATATGACTTCAAAAGAAGAGTTATTAACTATAATTCCATTGAAAGGACAAACGAGAGGCCAAGATATCTACAATTCATTTAAAAACTTTATTGATAAGACAGGATTTCCAATATATAAATTGGTCTCTATTACAATAGATGGAGCTCCAGCAATGGTCAGGAATCAAATTCGTTTTATTACCTTGTGCAATAATGATGAGGAAATTGCCAGTTTTACCAGCTATCATTGCATTATCCATCAACACGTATTGTGTTCAAAAATACTAAAGTCTAATTATATAATGCAAATTGCTTTTAAAATCATCAATTCAATTCGTTCAAGAAGTCTTCAGAGATGACAATTTTGGGCGCTTTTGGAAGAAACTGAATCAGGGTACGGAGATGTCTTATTGCACACAGATGTGAGGGGGCTAAGCCGTGGTGCTTTTTTAAAAAGATTTCGTATTCTGTTACCAGAAATATAAATTTTTCTACAAATGAAAGGCGAGCACATTATTGAATTGGAAGATGAGAAATGGCTCATGAAACTAGCTTTTCTCTGTGATATCATTGCAAAACTTAACGACTTACACCTAAATCTACAAGGAAAGAATAAATGTTTAACAGACATGATGAGTGCGATTAAAACTTTCAAAGAAACGATAAAAAGGTATGTGTCTCAATTAAGAAAACATGTATTGAGAATCTTCAAACACATGGAGGAAGAGAGCATCCATAATCCAAACCGAGACTTCGAAGATTTTGCCAAACACTTAGATGTTTTGTTTAAAGAATTTGAAAGAAGATTCACTGACTTAATTAAGTTGGAAGAAATACTCAATTTTATGATATTTCCATTTAATGAAAATGTCAACATTGATGGAGTATCTGAAAAAATAGGACATTTAATAGATACCACATCAGTCACAGTCGAAGAAGAAATTATTAAATTAAGACGCGATATATTTCTTAAATCCAGAGCATCTAGCGATACTGTTTTTAGAAATTAATTTCTGAGGAAATGTTTCCAAATATTTACAAATTGATTTTGTATTTAAAATCATACTTTGGATCGACGTATCTTCGCGAATTTGTTTTTCAACCATGAACGCCACAAAAACCAAAAATCGGTAGCGTTTAACAGATGAACATTTAATTTTGTGTTTACGCACTGCAATAAGCTCGTACCAGCCACAATATGATAAACTTGTCGCAGCTATACAGTGCCAAATTTCAACTAAACGAAGTGAATAGGATGGTCAATTTTTGATACATGAATACTTTGATTATTTTCGTCAGTAAATTTTTATTTTGCAAATATTAATATCAAGTTTTTTTTAGAAAAAATAGATAATTTACCATTTTTTCTTGTTACCGAAAATAAATATATAAACCTGTACATTACACTAATTTAGCTCTGCCATTGGTAGACTGCCTTCGATTTTTTAAATGTGGAGTAGACCATGGATCCCAAAAGTTTGGCCACTCCTGTTGTACAGGCTATTAAATTATACACATTGTTTTTGCTGCATTTCATTTGAACTTATTTCATTAGAGATGCATTTCTCATACAATTAATTCAACTCTCACTTTGCGGCAAGGTAAAAATACATAAGAACTCAAAATATCTTCATTAAAAATTGAAGAATATTGAAAAACATAAAACACCAAATACAGTTAAAACAATTTAAAAAACTTTTTTTTACAATTAAGAGTGACCATGCAAAAACAAGCAATTTGGCCAGCAGGCATAAAGGCAGATTTTTTTGGTGAACAAAACTGAAAGTTTACTTTTGGTCCCACTCTGCAAAAAGACACTGAAGGTGCAGAAACTGACTTAATTCACTATTCTGCTAATTTCCAAATGTAAAAAAATATGGCTGCTTTGTTAGGCATAGTTACACTTAACAACTTTAAAATTGTCAATAATTCTACAACTAACTGCATGCAGGTTACTTAAAAGCATAAAAACCTTAAATGGAGCATAAGAACAAATAATTCAATCACTTTTAAAGCAAAAAAATGCACAATTTGTCACCATACAAGAATAAAAAAACTGAGCTCACTCAGCCGAGCAACAGAGTGGGTATATATATTTATATACTTTTGATGGGACCGATTGCAACCAAAAAGAGAGGTGCACAAATACATGTTACAGCAGTCCTATACACAAAATTTCACTGTTCTGAGGCTAATCATTTTTGAGCTATTTGAGATACATACATACGTATGTACATACAGACGTCACAAAAAAGTCTCTTCTGAATCCATTTTATAATCCGCTTTGGGAAAAAGAGTCCTTTATTCTGTCTTTACGTACAAATGTCACACAAAAACAACATCGTTAAATTCCATTCAATAGCAATAAAAATGGATATTTTTGTTAAAATGCGATACCCAAAATTTTTTGCAATTACAATACTTCATTTACTTCGTACAAAGAAGTTGGGGGAGGGGGAATCAAACTTGATTACAGTATTAAAAAAACTAGCACATTTTACATCAAAATGCATTGTTCAGCAAAAAGGTTACTTTATATATAGAGAATAATTGTCTTATTAACACTTTTCAACACTGGTGAATTTAATATTTTCATATTCTGAATATAAAATAAATATAAACTGTGAAAACTTAAAAAATGTGACCCCCCCCCCAAAAAAAACTTCACATACTCATATGGGATAATGTATAACCCAGTGTGTAATCTCATAATATCTGTCAACATCTTCCTTACTGATGTTGTTAGATCAAAATGTATTGTTCAGCAAAAAGTTATTCTATATAAAAAGAATAATGATCTTTCATTAACTCTTTTTAACATTGGGGAATTTTACCTTTCCATATTTTAAATATAAAATAAATGGCACTGTAAAAAGTTAAGGAAAGTATGACAAAATAAAACTTAATGTACACATACAGGATAATGCATAACCCAATGCATAACTTCACAACCTCCTTCAGTAGCTTCCTTATCGATGATGTCAAGTTTTATAACAAGCTTATCCCATTTTTTTCTATATTCTATGTCTGTCTGAAATAAGATCAAAACTACATTCAGTTTGGAATTAAAAAAACAAAATATCGCATAAACAATCTTAGTAACAGGGAAATATCATACAGTCAAAAGTCTTTAATCCCGATTCGTCGGGACTTCAACGATTTCGGATTATAGATCATCAATTTAAATCTGGTAAGATTGCATGCAGAAATTATACAATTAAAAATATGAAATCGTAACTTATGAAATAAAGAGCAATTGTGATCTAAAGGGTATCAAAATTAAAAAAAAAAAAAAAAAAAGCTTAATATTTATTTGTTTACTTTATTAAACATTTCTTTCAATGCGCACATGTGTAAAGCATACATTACGCATAGTGGAAATTAGAAAATTGCAACCAGAAAACTATTTTATGCGTATTCGTGATATTTATAATGACGAGGAAATTGATTTAAATCATATTGGAGTACATCAAGATGACACACTACATTTAGTAAGGAATTATAAGTCGAATAAAATAAAAACATCTGCCCTGAAGACGAGGATAATGCTGACAGATAAACTTCCAGTTCATCGTGCGCCGCGACGTCCCCCCCCCCCCGCAGAGCAGCGTGAAATTGATAAACAGATTTAGGAATCGTTAGAGAAACAAATCACCTCTCTGTCATGCTTTTATCCATTTTTTTGCAGCAATTCCACTTTTTGTTTAATGGACATCGAAACGTGCTTTTGCTTTGTAGATCCTTTGGCAGCTCCAGAATCGGAAATTTTATTTGACATAATCGAAAGTTCAAGCTTACTTTTATAAAATTGCTCTAACAGTCTGCAAAAAATAATAAGCCGGATCCAATTCGAAGATTAGGGAACAACGCATTCTGCAACATTAACTGAAATAGATAATTAGATAATTTTAGCTTAGCTTATATTGTCGGTTATACATTAAACGCACATGCGTAAGCGAATTATGCATATGCGTAAGCGAATTATGCATATGCGTAAACGCATATGTACATGCATAAAGATATTACGCACATGCGTAAACGCATTATACGTTTACACATGCACAGAAAAATCCGGATTAAAGACTTTTGACTGTAATTAAGTTTAAAAAAAATTATGATTTATGTACTCAAAATGCACTAATTTACCTGCACAGCAAAGAATGTTCTTGCAGGTACGTCATAAAATGTTCCCATAACTAAAAAAAAAAAAAAAAAAAAAAAAAAATGCATAAGTACAATTAAAAAACAAAATTATTCTTACACAGAATGCGTCCAAACACAGACAAATTTCTTAACAAAATACTAAGATCATAAATTACGTCAAATAGTGTTATTATTTTTACAACATCCATATAAACAGTAAAACACTACTAAGATGTTTTTAAGGATCAGAGGATTACGAACTATGAAGAGCATGGTTTATAATGAGGGAAAACTTCTAATTCATAATTCATTCATCATCACTTTTGCCGGAATATTGCTGTTTTTACGCAATGTGTACAGCACACATTGGCCCAAAGGGCACATGACGGTGAAATGTCACGACTGGAAGATACATGATGCGACAGAAATATAGTACAAAATACATTGTAAAATAATAATGAAAATAAAGAAACCTATATACATATATACAATGAAGTTGCACTCTTAATCTGATTATGTAAGAAAATTCGAGTCACGGGTAAATAACACGAGTGGTCGGATGTGTGAGTCCTCAGCAAATACTATGTAATCGAAGACTTTGAATAGTTTCAAATGCAGGCAGTTTCTTGCTTTGTCGAAGAAAGTTTTGTTCGATTTGTGCAGAAATTCTTCAACACTATGAATTCATAAATCCCTGTGAAGAGTATCATTAGACACATAGAAATGTGCATTGGTGATAATTCTAAGGAGCTTATTTTGAGTAATTTGAAGTTTCTTAATATCCCTTTGAGAGTAAGTCGCCCATGCAGAGGACGCATAACAGAAGATAGGCCTGATAATTGCTGTATAGATATGTCTTTTTCTTTTATGATCCAACTTAGAAGATTAACCTATAAGCAGGATAAGATTTTTAATAGCTGCAGATGCTTTGATCTGGCACTTTGGATGTGATCCTTCCAGTTGAATCTATTGTTAAAGACTACGCCTAGGTATGTGGCTTTTTTAACTTTCGGTACATTAAAGAATTTGAGTTTCTTGTAGATAGGTATTCTAGAATGTTTCTTCCCGATGATGATAAGCTGTGATTTCTGACCGTTGATTGCAATTCTCCATTTTATGCACCAGTGTTCGATGGCGGGAATTGTTCCTTGAAGTTTGCCTAGTGCAAGTTCCTGGCTATGTGACTTTATGGCCAGGGCCATATCGTCGACATAGCAACCCAGATAAGAATTCATGTCTTTACAAACACCAGGGAATTCTGCAACATAAAATAGGTATAATATGGGTCCGAGAATAGATCCTTGAGCTACCCCAGCGTTCAAACGTTTAGCTTCTGAATTTTCATTTCCATAACTGATGAAAAACTTATGATTTCTGATGAAAGAATTAATTAGTAGCATCATGTCTCAGCTAAAGTTCAGGGATATGAGCCTGAAGATTAGCCTCTCATGCCAGATGTGGTCGAAAGCTTTTGCCACGGCTAGCGATACTTTGATAAGGCGATACTTTGATTTTTAAACAGTGCAGATCCGATGAACTCGCAGAGTTCGTACTCATTGCTTTGTTGTTGAAAGATTTTTACGAAAATCGAATTGTTCTGGAGGAAGTCTAGTCATATAAGGTTCAATTCTTTTGTAAATAACACTTTCAAAAATCTTACCTAGACCAGGCAGAAGACTGATGGGACGATATCCTTCAGGTTTTGTGACGTCTTTACCAGGCTTTGGCAATAGTATAACCTTAGCTTTTTTCCATTTATTCGGAAAGTAGCTGTGTTCTAGGCAGGCATTTAGTATGCTAACATATTTAGTGACAGTGTTAAGTGGCATATTCTTGATAGCAACATTAGTTATCTCGTTGTACCCTGGGGCCTTACGGTTTTTTATTTTTCTTATTATATTTCTGATTGGAAGAGATATATTCAGTACAATTCTTGGCTTTGGGGCTGCTAAGGTAGTCTCTGATGAAGTAATGAACATCATAGGAGAAGAGAGGATCATTGGGATCTTGATTGGGGATGAACTGCTTCTTTAAGTGTTCTGCCATCACAGTAGCTTTGTCTTTATTAGTAAGTTCAATATTATTGTTGCTGTAAATAGGTTTATTACAGGGAGGTTTTCTGCGAAGATTTCGTGTGAACGACCAGAAAGCATTGCTGGGTTCATTAAAACTCTCAATTTTATCATTCCAAGTATAATCTCAGTGTTTTTTAATACTATTTCTGATGTCCTTATTCAGTCTGTTTAGCCTTGTTTTTGACTCCCGGATCCCAGATAATTAGTGAAAAACTTAACACTGAAGAACACCAAGAAACAACTGAAATTTTCATAATGACAATCCATTTATTGCAGATCATTGTAAAAATTTGTTAAAAAATATATTTAATCCAAATAAGCACCTTTATGTTTCCTAGCATTCCAAAAAGAAAACATGTATTGGAACATTATGTACATCTATATTTTTGTTATTTGCAGAATTTATTTATAACAGTACAAACTACCTTAATGCATGTAACTTATTGTAGCTCCGTTCAGGACGTTTTAAACTATTAGAACCAAATCAAACGATTAATTCAGAAGTTTATAGTGAACAACTTTGCCCTCTAAACTCAACTGATCAAAAAACGCCCATGATTGGCGAATATCAAGAAACTGTTTCATCATGATAACACTAGACTGCATGCAGCTCGAACAATGCTATAAAAAAATTAGTGAATTTAATTGGGAGCTTTTGCCACATCCTGCTTACTCCCCAGATATTGGCCCAAGTGATTTTCACTTATTTCGTGCCTTACAAAATTTTTCACTGGGGAAAAAATTAAATTCTAAACAGGATGTACACAATGAACTTTCAAGTTTTTGTGCATCAAAACCAGAGTCTTTCTACAGCAATGACATAAAAAAGCTGCCTCTAAGATGGCGAGACATTGTAGATAATGGAGGATAATATATAATTGATTAAAATGTTAAATTGTGTTTTTTTATATTATTTAAAAATTTACCAAAAAATTTGCACACATTTATGGACTGACCCAATATTAATTGAAATGATCTAAAGGTCTGCAATATTAAAAATTTGGCACTTGCGTGTTATTGCAACCACCTTAGTAGAAGACATAAAATTTTCTAAATCTGCCAAACTCTGACAGCCATGCTAATAATAATCCTTCCATGAAGTAACATTGCCATTTTCAAAAGCGATCTTCCTGTTGCATTCCAAGCTTCAATGTTTTTATACACAAATCAGGACATTTTTTGCCTTAAATTTAGCTTTAAAATATGTGCTTGAGGAACTCACCAGGTATGGAAGAAACCACGATAAAATTTCTGAAGAAATATAGAACTTTGCTGCAAAATCTTTAAACGGAACAATGAGGACATGCATTTGGTAGATAACAGGTGTTGCTGAGACTTGTGTGATGCCAAATCTCTGCAAGTTTCTGATTCATTATTATTATTTTTTTTAATGAAAATATACACTGATTATCATAAATGATAAACGAATAATAAATTCGTTATAAATATAACGAAGGAAAAATCACGATTACTGAAAAAGTTACATGTCGAATTTTATGAAACTTAACCACAATATACAACACATAGTAAGGTATCAAATAACATAAAAATGAATTACCAGACAATTATGGTAGTATAGAAATTAGCACATGTATAAAATGAACAAATCGAAGATGTCGATTTGCTATAGGAAAAGTACCTTCAATATGGAATATGATCGTCTCTAAAAGCAATACAGCACATACAGAGATTCATGATAGTTTCAATTATGCGGTCTATCAGTTCCATAGGAAGCGAGAACCAGTGCTCTTGAAAAGCAGTTGCAAGCGCGGCAAGGGTCTGAGGGGGCGGATTGAGAGCAGTTAAACGTCTCTCTAAGGCACAGCCTCTCTAAAGCCTTTTGCTTACTTTATCCGGCCCGTTGAAAAATTGATAAAAAAAAAATCGCTGATAATTTTTTCATTGCTAAAAAACGATTTCTAGGACTAAAGCATAAATTAAACGAAAATGATTTCCTATATAATGAATATGATAATATAATCAGAGAACAAGTTGAAAGGGGGATTGTTGAACAATGTAAGTTTGTTGAAAATGAACCTAACTGTTATTATATGCCTCATAGGCCCATTATACGTGAAGGAAAAGTAACAACAAGAATAAGAATAGTTTATGATGCCTCTTCTAAGTCTGAAGGAGCTAAATCGTTAAATGAATGTTTGATATCAGGCCCTAATTTAAATCCTAACTTGTTGGATATAATTTTAAAATTTCGCGTACATAAAGTTGCATTTTTTTCTGCAGACATAGAGAAGGCTTTTCACCAAATTCAAATTGATAGTGAAGATAGAAATTTTTTAAGGTTCTTGTGGTTTGATCATTCTTACGACGATAGTGACAATAGTTTAGGCTTTAAGGTTTTCCGAATGTGCCGAGTGCCGTTTGGAATGACAACAAGTCCGTTTATTTTGTCCGCCACTATCAAACATCATATTAAGGGTTATGAAAAGAAATATAGCAAAGCTGTTGACATGTTAAATAAGTCCTTATATGTTGATGACCTTATCCATGGAGCAGACTCCGTTGAAGAAGTTTTCTCATTATCAACTGATGCAGTTAAAATTCTTCAAGACGCTGGTATGAACTTTGAATCAAATTCCGTATCTTTAAAAAATCATTGGCAAGATATTGGTTTAATTAATAAGGAAGATAATTTGGATAAGAAAACGTTAAAGGTGCTGGGAATAATTTGGGATTTTGGATGAGGACACATTGAAATTAGATGTACAAGAACTTTTACAACCAGTTGACTGGAAACACGTTACGAAGCGAAAGGTATTACAGATTGTGGCAAAAATTTATGATCCAGTTGGATTCATTGCACCTTTTGTTATCAGAATAAAATTCTTATTACAAGAGTTATGGGAATTGGGTATTGAATGGGACACAATTTTGCCCAGCTATTTGAGTGAAAAATTTAAAACTTGGTACTTTGAAATTGAAGTTATTCTCAACTTGTGTATTCCTAGAAAATACATATT